GTTTTTTTTTTTTTTGTTAGTACTTAAGACTCCTAACTTGCATGCTTCTCCTTTATTTTACCCTAGAGCTTGCTTGCTTTTTCTTTTTATTGCTGATGCTAAAGTGACTTGTTAGTCCAGCTACATAAACCTAACCCATGCTTTTTTTTCTTTAGGCACTCAGTGTTACTGAAACTCTGATCAAACCTTTGGAAAGATTTAGGAAAGAGCAGCTAGGAGCTGTAAAGGTTTGTCCCTCATTGCCTTTGTGATAACTTTGTTTAATTTCTCGACTTGGATTTCATTGCCGTAATGACATGTATTTGGCAGAGAGATACTGTTGTTCATATTTCATGTATTCACACTTTTTTTTTTTTCCCCTATTTGAGAACTTGCTTCAGAAACAAATGGAAAGTATGTTTCAAGAAGAGAAGAATGTGTCCTTTCCCTTCCTTCTCTCCTCCCCTTCCTTATCTCTTGTGTCTGGAACAGGAGCCATCTTGCTAACAGCCTGTCCCCTTCCTAATGGGTAACCCTGTTCTGCTTTGTATTTGCTTGCAGTTGCACAATCAAAGGCTGAAAAATATTAACTTCCCAAAGGAGCTCGCTCATCTGTATGCTTTTAGCTGTATTTTTGCAAATTGCCTTTGGTTTACTTTTTGTTTTAATTAAAAAACTCACTGCCTCTGTATGAGTGGAAGAAAAATAGAGATAGAGAGGCTAAAGACAGGATCTCGTTCAAAATTGTGTGTGGTTTGTTTTTTTTTTGTGAGTGTTCAGTAATTTTTTTTTAAATTATCACTATGTTGTGTATATATATATTTTTTTTTTAAGCAAAGTAAACTTCATATATTAAATACAGCTAACTGGGTAAAAGTAATAAGGACAAGTTTTACCTCTTTGTACCTGTCAACCTTCATTCTTCAGTGAGACATTTAAATGCTTATTAAAAAAAAAAAAAGTAAAAGGAAAACAAATATTTAACAGAGTTTTCTGTTGCAAAATGCAATTTATACATTTTTAAACTACCACTCTGCAGATGTTTTGTTTTATAATTTCATGACTTCATCAGCAGTGATATTTAATAGCTAAGGTAATGTTTCAGTTACGAGACTGCTATACGTTTTGACTTTAGGAGGAACGATTAATATGTTCTGAATATGATTTCTGTGTTCATGAATGGAAAATGCTTTGTTGATCATAAATCATTACAGTTCAGTAGTACAATGAACTTTGTGTAATTTTAATTTTATGGGCTACTGAGAAGTGCATCAGACATCCCAACCAACATACAGTAAAAACTTGGTCTGTAATATAGGGAGTATTCTAAGGAAAAAGGGAATTTGTTCTAAATGTTATCTGTTGTAATAGAAGCAGCTGTGATGAACAGTATTTTTGGTGTTAAAGAACATTGCCACTTTTGGGGTGAGAACTCCTAGTGCTTTAAATGTTCTCATGATCTTCACTCATTTCCTAGTCAGAATTCTGTCTCTGATATTTCTACCATGACAAGTCACATTCACACAGCCTACATCTTGCATTTTGTTGGAATGGATATTTCTTCCCTTGTGCCTCCGTACATACTGTTTCTGTGAATTTTAAGCTCTTATTTGTGATTTGGCCTTTTTTTTTTTTTAATTACTGAATTCCCAGTGACCTTAAATAGAACAGTCTTGCATAACTGTGAAATATTTAAATAAAAATCCTCTAAAAATATTTAACTCTTTGAATATTCTTCAAAATAATCGAAGTACTGACACTGGATATATAATACTGCTTAGCCCCCAAAATCAAGTTACGGCATCTAGGAGTGAAATATATCTGGAACATTGTCTACTATTTCATAGAATCATAGAATGGTTTGGATTGGAAAGGACCTTAAAGATCATCTAGTTCCAACCCCCCTGCCATCAGCAGGGACACCTTCCGCTAGACCAGGTTGCTCAAAGCCTCATCCAGCCTGGCCTTAAACACTTAAAAACATTTGCTTTAAGAAAAATTTATGCTCTGCCATTACAAAATAAAAGTTGAATCTGCTGCCATAGATTTTCCTTATGTTACACCCCCTGCTGATTAAATGATCTGAGTTAGGCTTAAGAAGCAAAAGAAAAGAAAAAGTTTAACTCCATAGTGCTGGAAACCGAGACCCTTTTTGAATTACCCCTCAAGTAAAAGATGGTGCTGCTCCAGTCCCAAACTACATGTGAAGTTTCTGGCTTTGCCTATTTAGAAGTCAATAACTCTGTTTTTCTGGCAGCACTCTAATGTTGCCCAGATCAATGGACGTTTTGCTAATAGAAGCACAAACATCTCCCCCTGCCTCACTCTACTTTATTCCTAATTTCCCATAGGCTAACGTGGTATCTCTAGTCACACAAATGCCAGACGTGTATCTTGATGTTTCTCAGTTGGTAAGGAATGTTGTGGCTGCTCTTCTAAAAGGAGTTCTTAAGATTCATAATGGAGAAAAAATCTAGCATTTTTGGTAAAATTCCTTGCTGAGAATCCATCCTAAACAGCTTAGTTACCCACTTTAATATCTTCAGAATCTAGTAATTCAGAGAACAAAACCATGTATCACTTATAATACATAGAGTATTACTTATTAAAAATGACAGGTTAAGAGAAAAAAATGAGCAAGTGTGTTTGTAGAGTCTAACCAGTATGTTAGGTAGAATATATTTAAATGAAATTCCAAGTTGATGGATGATGGAAAAATATTTTAATTGAACTGTTTTCTTTCTGATGAGTAAATATGTAAGTTCTTGAATATGTAATTTAATATTTGTTTTTACTTAGATTTATTTATTTTGTTAGTACTTATTTTAGATTATTTTCAACTGCATTTAGTTATACTAAAAATAGCTTCTAAACTGATGGGTTGATTTCATCAATACTGATTTCTGTTGTAACACACAGAGTTAAGAAACTAGAACTGAAGAAATGAAAGGATCGTTTTCCAATGTATTCTACTAAATTAGATCCAAGAACTCTGATTTCCTAGAAACATTTAGTGTCTGTCCCTTTTCCAATACATTGCTTTTGACAGGGAAATGGATTTGCCTGTGTAATCTCGTTTAGGTTCCTGCTCTGGCAGGGGGATTGGACTAGATGATCTTTCGAGGTCTCTTCCAATCCCCAACATTCTGTGATTCTGTGAAATGACACTCTTGCCTGTGAGAGATTCTCTTTTGCAAGCATGATTTTATGTTTTATGAAGATTTTTCTTTATTTTAAAGTCTTTCTTTTTTTTTTTGTATTTTTTTCTTTTCCCCATGAGTGCAACAGTCTTGTAGAAGCAGAAATTCAGCACAGTGGTCTTTGTATGGCTTTAAAATAAAGGAATCCTAAGGAATATGGACCTATATTCACTTCACTTTAGGTTTTGAACTGTGAAACTGTTCGAACTTACTCAAATGGTGCTTTTACACTTTTCCACTGTCAATTATTGAAAAAAAAGAACTTTCTATGAAACTGGTATTTCCCTTGAAGCCCCCTGTTCAAAACCCATGATGATGTGGATGATCCCTGAAAATAATGAAAAATGCAATAAATCAAGAATGGGTGTTTTTTTGGCTTTTTTAACTTAGAAGGCATTAATGGGATAAATTTCACCATAATGATACAATGGGATTTCATTTCAAGTTAGGCTTTAAATCAATTTTAAAAATAAGTTGGAAACATACTTTTCCTTAGTTATTGGAGCTATGATAGTTTGTTTCTCTTTGTTTCTGATTAAGTAGAATTTTAAAAGAAGAAAGGAGGAGGCTTTTCTTACAGTTTTATATAAATGAATATTACTTTGTTTCTATGTCTAGGAGGAAAAGAAGAAGTTTGATAAAGAGACAGAGAAGAACTACAGTTTGTTAGAAAAGCATTTGAATTTATCAGCTAAGAAGAAAGAGCTACAATTACAAGAGGTATTGTTGCTTCTCTTTATTTTTTGGTGCAAGCTACAGGCTTTTGAATAGATAAATATATTTTATGCAAATACAAAACCAGCATTTGTAGTGGTAAAAGGGATATTTCTGACAACTGGAAAGGTTGGTGAGAAAATAAATATTTGCTTAACTTAGTGGTGTACCCCTACCAATTTCTGAATTGAGGGCTTTACTTGACATGTCTATGAGGTTCTAAACATCATGTTAAATTTTTATGCAGTTAAGGAAATAGCAAAGTGCAAGTATATTGTAATTTGCATTGCATTGTATGTATTAACTAAATGTCCTGTGTTAATGCTTAATGCAAAGTACAGCAAGACTTATGTTCCTGAAAGAAGTGTTTTTGTGCTTTTATTTTTCCTTTTCATGTTTTGAAGATCCTTTTGGGGGTTTTTTTGGTTTTGTTTTTTTTCAAGTAAAGCTGCAAAAAAATTTGACAATTTTTAACTTAAAATGAGATCTGTTTTGCCTGGCATTCCTTCTGTCCCTGTGGGTTTACTATCATCCTCCTTATTTGTAATAGCTTTTGTTTCTGGAGCAGCAGCAAACAGTACATGAGAAGACAGCAGAGCAATCTTGCAGAGACTTGCTGTGAGCAGAAGGATTTTTTTTTTTTTCCCCCAGAGAAATGCAATTATTAATGCTTAGTCTATGAATGCCTTGTATCATTAAAGACTTAATGTTTTCCTCAGAGATAACTCTTCTCCCTGCTCTTTGCCCCACCCCAAATAGCTAAGCTCTTTCAATTGTGCATTTTGGAGTATAAATGTAGAAGGAAGAGGAAAGAAAAAGGACTTTGCAACATGTTGTCCAAGTGCCAAATAGGAAAAGCTTTTTTGTGCAAGCTTGGAAAATAGATGTATAGAATTGCATGAGAGCTTCCTAATTTTGTATTATACTTGGCTACTTGTGTCAGTTTTTAACTGGACTAAATGAAAGATGCAGGTGTAAATTTGACAAAAATGTGATGAAAACCAAGCCGTGTTGTGGAGTGTGTCTTACATTAATTAATAGTTTATAATATTAATTAATTAATATGGCCTTTGGCTCTCTTAGTGGAGTGATACCCCTGAAATTTCACTGTGGCACGGTGTGTGTATTATTCCTGTATTTCCTTGGCGGTACACAAGGGACAGTGCAACAGTGAGTGAACTTGCTGGACACACAGAGGCTCATGCCTCAAAAAACTGAGGAGACATGATAATCTATTTACGGAGGAATTAATAAAATAGCTGTGTTGGGTATTGTATTCTTGGGGGGAGGGTTGGTGGGAGGAGACAATCAAAGTGATAAACAACTGGAAATCAAAGAAGAGAGAGAGAAACAGGATTACATGGGGCTTTGGTGTATATAGAGCAGGCTTACTGTTGATTAGCCAGATGTCCTGGTAGACCCACTTCATAGTCTTTTGCTGTGGCTACCGTTCAGTACATGTATCAGTATATCATTAGAAGCTTTGCTGACAACTCAGACAACTCCTGTATTGCATGGCTTATAGGATGCATCAAAATGGCTTGGCTTTTTGAAACATGCTGTCTTACTGATGTACCTATCTGTGCTTTATTTTTTTTACTGGCATTTGTTGCTATGCCCCTTTAGCTGCTGACAGATTTCTGTGCTGCAGAGCAGCAAAGCAAAGCATGTCTTAAGGCAAAACTGTCTTAAAGCTAATTTGGCTTATCCTCTTAAGGCATAGCAGCCACTGCTCTGCCTGAAGGATGTAGTCTCAGTATTTAAGAGAGAGTGTATAGTAGTAAGTCTAGTCCTTTCACTTAACTCTTTCTCCATTTGCTTTTGTAATTTAGTGTAGAAGCATTTGGTATTATCACATGGGCAAAGACTCAGTGTTAATCACTTAGTGTCCCTTTATAGCCTTTCTTTAATGTATTTTAATAGAGATTTCCGTTACCCCGTTGTTGAAGTTTTATAGTTTAATGAGGGCACTTGTACCTTAAATAAGAACTTAATGAAATAATACATATATGCTAGAAACTTAAATATTTATGTACAGATGAATGGCAGCTGAAATATAACTGTTCACCATCAATATGGTGTTGGCATTTCAACAAAGCTGAGCTAAAACTCAGCTGCAGCTAATGAGGCTGCATTTTAAAATATTTGATGCTCTGTGGAAACTTGTGAAGTGTCTTACCAATAAGTGAAATTCTTTAGTTGCTTTTTTTCCCAGTCAGCGAGCACAGGTGTGGGATGTGTACAACAGCATTCTGGTTATTTATAGCAGTTATGTGGATTATAGAGTAAAGCTTACAGTACCAACAATGTGGTTTTCATCAATAACATTTTCTTCACTACTTTAACTGGAGAGATGATTTCCCCTTTTTCTACTGGAAGATGCTGCTAGCCCCGTCTCTCTGGGCAGCCACCTTTTCAGTGCTGTTAAAGCAGGGCACAAGTACCTGCTCTGGTGTGTTTGGCTTGGATTCCACAGAAGAGAAGCTTGAAGAGGTGTTATTGGAATGTTTCTAAAAATTTAGCCTTGTGATTTAAAACAGCATGTGTTATCTAGTAAAAGGAAATTTCTGCTGCCATTTAAAAGTAAACGAATGAGCTGTGTTGTAAAGGAACAAGTCCCAGTCTGGAGAAAATTATCTTATCGCTTGCCACTTGTATGCTATACATGTGTCATTTTGAAGCTGTCTGTGAAATGTCTTTGAAACTTCATTAGCTGTATTCTGTGTGCAGGCAGATAACCAAGTGGAACAGAACAGAAAACACTTCTATGAGCTGTCCCTCGAGTACGTGTGCAAGTTGCAAGAGATACAGGAGCGGAAGAAATTTGAGTGTGTGGAACCTGTAAGTACCAGTGAATTCAGTCTACCCTGTCGTTCATAAGGGACGGAGAGGGAATGCAGCTGGAAAAGAGCCAAGGAGCTCTCTTTTCTGGGAAAATGTGTGCAATTGTGTGAATTAACAGAGTTAGAAGCACTCTTGTTACATCTGTGCAAATCCCCAGTACAGATACACCTAACCAGGCATCTCAGAGCTTACCTCAGTAATTACAGTTGACTTGGATCCAGTGATACTGATTTTCAGAAAATGTGTGAAACCTTGTGCTGTACTACAAAAACCTTGATTTATGGGGTGAGTTAGAAGAGAGGATTCAAGAATGATAATGTTGGGGTCAGACTTTTTGCATTTGTTCTTTATTAACCACTGAAATGTTTTATTCCTGACTAATATGAGGAATTTTGTTTTCAATGTGAAGGTTGCACTTAGAGGCCTGTTAGTGACAAAGGGCAGTTATAAATTAATTAAGAGGGTCCTTCTGGCTAGAAAGCTATTGTTAGCAGCAAGTCTGATACGTCTGATTTCAATTGCAATTGAATCTGTGCAGAAATCAAGGAGTTCCACTGAATTTCAGTGAAAATCGTACCTGTACTGACCAGACTTACTGAAACCTCTGAGAAGAGCTTATTCTAAAGTTTTCTGAAATGTGTATTAGCTTCATAGAATAAATAGAACTTTATGAAACAGCAAGAGAACAGTAAATGTAATACTGAGATGAAGGGAGGATGGATTGTAGAAGTGGATTCCATTCACTCACTCTGAAATCTGTGGTTTTAGGCCAAAGCTATCCTTTTATTCTGATACAATTATTTTAATGTAATAATGAAAAAAAGTTCCATATGACCCTAATCAAAGTAGTTGGTCATTATGGAGTTAATGAGAGTTGTATATTTTAATATAGCTTATTCCTGTATGAAAAAAATGCTAAAATCTTTTAAGTGGGAATAAATTGTTTTAAATATATTAGCATTGTTCAAGGAGTGGGAAAATGTTGTGAAAATGGTTGTATAGAATTTTTTTTGTTTTGTTGATGGGGTTTTAAAATTTATTTTATAGGTGTTTTTTTGTTGGATTTTTTTTTTGTTTGGTTTTTTTAAGAGCCAGACTAGAGCAATGAATCTTCAAATTATGTTTTTGAAACATGTCCCTTTCTCTTTTCTGAAAGCTTCCTCTGGATGGGACTGAATGTTATGTTGCTCAATTTGTATTTGAAGTTTTCACTAGGGTTGTAAACTGAAATTAATTAGTACCAAATTCTTATCCCCTTTCCTCTTCGTAATACTTTGTATTTTTGTTTGGGTTTTTTTTGTTTTTCATTTTTGAAAATGGTTTGTTTGCATGACTTCAGGCTTTATTAGCTATGTTCTTTGGCTTATTCTCTTTATTAAAGAGAGCTGCTCTTTTCCTGCGTCACTCCCTTCTTTCTGACAACCTGAACCAAACAGGAGAGGTAGGCAGTACTGCACCTCGCCCTGTTTTCAATATAGTATAACTCTCTTAAATTGAAACACTGAGGTCAGAAACTGCAACATGAATCGTTGGCTGGTTCTGGTAGGGGGTCAGATCTTCATACAAAAAGCAGTGATGGGTAACGTTACTGGAGGGAGTGTGTCCTTTTTCAAACGAACCAGTTGACTCTGTTAGGAAAGCCATGGCAATGTGGTCATTACCAGGGAGGGGAATGACCAGGGATATGGTGACTAAAAGGCAGAATGATTGTTACCTCTCTCTGCACAAGTATTTATTCCAGACATCACTGGTATCAGGGCAGCTGTAGGAAAACATTACATAGGAAAGTTTGGGAGATAAGCAATATACATCACCTATGGCCAAATTTAAAATAGAGTTCAGTTGTGAATTCCAGAGATGGGACCACCCAAAAATGTCTATGTACATAGCTGATAATTTGGATCTAAACAGTTGTTCATAAATTGTAGGCATTAGTGGAAATTTGTTTAAAAATAATCATTTTGTCATCTCTGACCTTTCTGAAAAAGGCTACAATCGTATTCTGGTAAATAGAGTTTTTCGTTCTCACAAGTCTTTTGTTTGTATTTCAGGTGCTATCATTTTTTCAGGGGTTGTTCACTTTCTATCATCAGGGATATGAACTTGCTAAAGACTTCAATCATTACAAAATGGCCCTGCAGATAAATATACAAAATGTAAGTTGAGATTGATATCTATGCCCTTTCTATGTTTTTAAAATAAATTCACACACTTAAGTTGCTATTTATACACTATCTATAGTATACTTTCCTCGGTGTTAGCACTTTGCTTGTGAACTTTGGGGATATAGTGCCATCTCCTGGCTAACCGGCCACTTCGCTGAACAAATAATCGCTAATTCCAGGGAGTTCTTATTTTGTCATTTCTAATACTCCTCTAAAAACAAACAAAAAAAACCCCAACAAAACAAACCACCAGCTAAAAGGCCCCTACTCCTTCTTCCATGCTTTATAGAGCTGTAACACAAGGATTATCCTGAAAGAATTTAAAAACGAAGGAAGTCTGTTAAAATGCCTACAACACTGGAGAATCCAGAGGAGGGGTAAAGAAATGCCAGGGTTCTCAGTGTTTTAGGTGTGTTTGAAATCAAGTATGTGGTGGTCATGTCTGAGGGTCGTTGCTTGATAAGGCATATTATCCATGACTAAGAAAAAGAAAGAAAAACAGCTGTGCTTATCAGCGTTGTTTTTGTCATCTCTGCCAGCAGTATGACTTGGAGTTTCTGTATCACAGAATCACAGAATGTGAGGGATTGGAAGGGACCTCGAAAGATCATCTAGTCCAATCCCCCTGCCGGAGCAGGAACCTAAACAATTTTACACAGGAAGGCGTCCAGGCGGGTTTTGAATGTCTCCAGAGAAGGAGATGCCACAACCTCCCTGGGCAGCCTGTTCCAGTGCTTTGTCACCCTGACAGTAAAGAAGTTTCTTCTCATGTTTAAGTGGAACCTCCTGTGTTCCAGTTTACACCCATTGCCCCTTGTCCTACCCTTGGACACCACTGAGAAGAGCCTGGCTCCATCCTTGTGACATTCGGCCTTAACATATTTATAAACATTAATTAGGTCTCCCCTCAGTCTCCTCTTCTCCAAGCTAAAGAGACCCAGTTCCCTCAGCCTTTTCTCATAAGGGAGATGCTCCATTCCCTTAATCATCTTGGTGGCTCTTGTCTCAAAGCAGCCCTTTCTGGCAAGAACATCCCTGTTGGTTTGGGGTACAGAGCTGTATGAGGAGACTTGCTCTTAGCACCCATGGCGTATTTGACAAAACGGTGTGTTTCTTCAAGGGCAGGCTAATGGGGGCTCACCACTAGTTCATATACCCTCACACCAAATTGCTCAGTGTCATCTGCTCAGGACTGGGAAAGCAGCAAGCAAGGTGCCAGGCTGAAGCAATGGGACTGATGGAGTCACTAGTCAGATGGTCTTTTTTGTTTCCTAGAGATTTGTTGAAGAATAAAACTCACTCAGAGGAACTTGGATGTGCCAGAGTCCTGTTGGTAGGGAATGAACCATGCACCTTACTGCAAACAAGCAATTCATGATGGTGCATCTGTTTTGTTGACCTCTAAGGGCACCTGGAATTAAGACACAGAAACTACTTTTCAGAGGTTGCAATCTATTTTTAGAATTGGCTTAACTAGCAGGCAACAGGAGGGAGATGGAAAGGCAGAAGAGAGGATTAGAGTTGATGTAATACGTAGTGACATGATTCATGTGTCATGACACCATTCCTTTAATTTTCTTCCCATATGTTTAAGTCTCAAGTTTCCTTCTGAGTTGTCGTTTGGTTTATG